TGTCGAAATCACATATGAGGACTGTTAGGAGCTTTTGCAACTTTCCATCACAGGGGACAAACTCCACATCATGTGTTCTGATCCTGACTATGACTGGGCTCCGGCCAACCACTTTCTAAGAAACACTAATGCTCACTTTCACATTGGAGAGTCTAACACTTTACTCAAAGATGCTGGGACAATCCAGCATGTCCTTCACATCTCAATACTTCCAAAAGCTGGTGATCGCGTTCATATCACTCCTCTTCTTTCGATCACCACTTTTAACATTTTGGCCCGTTGTGAATTCAATGTCACTGATTTGATTTTTCACTACATTGAACATCTGACTAGTATTCGAGATCCAGGACATAGGAGGAAGCCCAATTTTGCCCTAGGACATATCATTACCTATGCCTTAGAATCAAAATACAACCTCTAATATCTTGCTCCACCAAATTTCAGCTCGCCTTCTACTCAAACAACTCCTTCCACGTTCTTCACAGTACTCGTTTGCACCCGGGGCACGAGGAAGCTGAGGAGGCAGCTCCTGTACTTGCTTCGCTCCGCCAGCACTCTCACCTGGATCAGCTGGTGGAGCGATTCAACCAGTGGGAGACACGATTTGTAATTTAGTGAGTATGATATTAGAACAATGAAGAAAATGTTTAAAAGATAAAGGACATAGAATTAGAAGATAGAGTGCATGATTTGTAATTTAGTGAGTATAATATTAACATTTATAAATTACTATTGTTAGATGACATGATGATATCCATATGTGATATGGTTTAGTATCTTGAATTATTACACAATAGATTGATGATATAAATAATGACATAGTTAAGGTTTTGTGGTTAAAATGAAGTGTCTTGGAATTATAATATGATAAGAGGATAATATGGATAATTGGTATCTTTAATCTATACATGGAAAATATTATTTTTTAAAATTATGTTCATAACGACCATGTGCAAATTTGTTTTTAGCAACAATACTTCTAAAAAAAATTTGAGGAAATCCCATTAATGTTTTTAGCAAAATTCTTTGAAAATAAAGACATTTTATAATTTAAAGAATGATTTTAAGTTATATATCTAAGAATCACCCAAAATTATAAGCATGTTTTAAAAAATCATTCAAGTTGCGTTTAGAATTGCGGTGCTTATGAAGGTTGTTGAGGCTTAAGCTTTACATCCTCCAATGAGGCTTACTCTTTTTTAAATGAGACGTACGCCTTGAGGTTTAACACTGGAGGAATTTTGTGATGGTGCGTCATTTGTATTAAATTTTCTAAATTTTAAATAATAATAATATTATTATATATTCTATTATGTCATATTACCACACACCATTGCATACTAGCACATTAGGGCTCCTTGTAGGGTTAGGATTGTGAGGCTGCAAGAGAGCTACGTCTTCTTCGTGTGTGTCGTATTCTTCTTCCTCCATATGTACGCACCTTCATGTGCATCTTCTTCCATGCCATCATACCTTATTGCGTAATAAGGCTTCGTGCAGGATTAGAGTCGAGTAGTTGTGTGTGCATCTTTTTCGCAGTGAAGAGACAACTAGAAATATAACTCCCCTTAAATGTAGGAATATAATTCTTATTATTATACTTTTGATGTTGGCATCATCTAGGATCATAATTAAGTTGATTTAATTTTAATTGTATATTTTATTTTATATAACCGACCCAAGTGTTATGTCATATCTCTAGTAGATAGTGTCATGCAACCTTAGGTTTTGATATCAAATTTAATACAAGACAACCTCATAAAAGAACAAAAATATAATAAGTAAAGAGGAAAAAATGAAAAATATTAAGAAACAATAACTTGATAAGCAACCATCACTCTCGAACAAACATGTACCTTCTCTTGGAAATATTGAAGTCTCTCACTTGATAAAAGGAATTGAATTACGATAATTTTATTTAAAAGTAATTGACCAATTTCTTACATGTGTAAGACCCCCATTTATAATTACAAAGCTTAATTGAAATCCCTTATCCATTGTTCACATCACAAACACAACAACAACAAAATCAAGCCTTTATCCCACTACGTGGGGTCGACTACATGAATCCTTTTTCTCCATTGTGTTCGGTTAAGAGTCAAATTCTCATTTAAATCTAATAAAGAAAGGTCATTTGTAATATTTTCTAACAGTCTTTTTAAGTCTACGGTCTACCTCTACCTTTCTTAACATAGGTTAAATCTAATACATCTACTCTCCTAACCGGGTCATCGGAAGGCTGTCGTTTTATATGACCAAACCATCTAAGGCGACTATCTCTAATCTTATCTTCCACTGGAGCCACTCCAACCTTTCCATGTATATGCTCATTTCATATCCAGTCTCTAAGAGTAAAGCAACTCATCCACTTGAGCATCCTCTTCTCTACAACACTTAGCTTAATATTATGCTTGTCTTTTAATGGCCAACATTCTGCGCCATAAAGCATTGCAGGTCTAACCACCATCTTATAGAATTTTCCCTTAAGTTTGAGTGACACTTTTCTATCACACAATAAGGCCCGATGCATTCCTCCACTTCTTCCATCCAATTTGAATTCTACTAATAATATCCTCGTCTATTTCACCATCACTCTGGATAATAGATGCAAGATATCTAAAGCATATACTCTTATTAATGACTTGATCGCATTATTAATCCCTTTCTTTTTTAGATTATCAATAAATATCATATGAAGATCTTCTTTATTCTCTCTATACTTCTCCATCAAATATTTCAATAAATATTTGGCTTCCATAGTAGACCTATCAAGCATGAATTCAAATTGATTTTGAGAAACATTAGTATCACATTGTAACTTATGCTCCATAACTCTCTCCCATAATTTTAAAGTATGACACATCAACTTAATTCCTCCATAATTTGCACAATCTTGTGCATCACCTTTATTCTTAAAGATATGAATCAATACATTCATTCTCCACACATCTGACATCTTTTTAATCTTCAAAATAATATTAAAAAGTTTAATAAGCCAATAAATTTCTTCATATCTTAAGCAGTTCCACACCTCTATTGGAATATCATCAGGTTAAACAGTTTTCCCAAACTTCATTTTCTTTAAAGCCCCCCTCTAACTTTAGTTTTTGTAATACGCCGATAAAAATAAAAATTTCTATTTTCATTAAGAGTTTTATGGTCACTAAAGTCCATCGTATTGTCACAATATTCATTGAAAAGCATAGCAAAATATCTCATTCACCTTTGTTGAATATCCTTTTCAAAAAAAAAAAAAAAAAAAAACTTTTTGATATTCATCTTTAATGCACTTCACTTGAACAAAATTCTTAATATAAAAAAAAAAAAAAAAAAAACTTTTTGATATTCATCTTTAATGCACTTCACTTGAACAAAATTCTTAATATTCATATGTCTTTGTTTGGCTAGCTTGTGCATATATCTTTCCCCCTCTTTAGTATCTTATATATTATATAAATCATTAAAATTTAAAGTCTTTGCATCGCAGAATGCTTTCTTAGACTCCTTACAGGCAACCTTATATCTTTTCAAATTATCAGAATTTTTACATCTAAATCAATTTTTTATAATATCACTTATTTTTGATCTTTTCTTGCACATTTTGATTCCACTACCAACTATTTTTACTATTAGAAGCTTTTCCTTTTGATACTGTAAGCACATACTCTAAGCACATCCTTTGCAACATTCTTAATATTACAAGCTATTATTTCCCACATACCATTAGATTCCTCATACACCAACAAAATCTTAATATTGTGAATCTTACTCTCAAATATATTTTTTTGTTAGAGTTTTTAAATTCCACTACCTAATCCTAGAACAATGATATACTATATTTTTCGTACTTTGCCTTTCATTTTAAAGTCCAAAACTAATAAGCAGGGTTGGGTACATAGACTTTCACTCGGAATAATTTTACAATATCTGCAATCTAAACACTCTATTTTTCTTACAATGAAATAATCAATCTGAGTTTTATTATATCTGTTATTATAAGTAATGAGATGCTCATCTCTTTTCTTAAATAAAATATTAACAATAACAAAATCATAAGCTTGATCAAAATTTAATATAGTCTTATCACCTTCATTAGCCGCTCCAAACCCATAGTCATCATGAATGCTTTTAAAATCCTCTACCTTTCTACCAACATATCCATTTAAATCTCCTAAATAAAAACTCTTTTTTCAAGAGGGTATCTTTTGTCTCAAGAAATCGGTCAGAAGACAAAACCCCTAAAGAATGACGATTGTAAATATAGCATCACTGGAGGGGTAATACATAGCAAAGGAAGGAAGATTGCCTGAGCCCATGTCACAAGCTGCTGCTATATAAACTCATCAGTGGCGCAAGCTGTAAATAGCCTCAACTGAAGTAGACCAGACCAAAATCTAGAAGCTGTAGGAGCTGCTCTGTATCACCATACATCTGTTTTTCTGCTATGTTCTATGCGTTTCGAAGAGTTTGCATTTCACTTGAAGTTACTATGAAGGCTTTCTAGTTTGACAGATATTGTCTCGTTATCATGTATTAGGGAAAAAAAAAAAAACTTGTTTTTGTATGTAGAACCACCTACTACATAAACATATTGAACAACACACGAGGTATGTTAAAAAAATATCAAGCACCTACAATAAGACATCAAGAATTTATTTACATTGCAAGAAGAAGTCACACAAGTTTTTATCTTGTACTCTTATCTTCACAAATTTGCTTTTTTTTCCTGTTCCAGGTCCACTAGGCATGAAAGCACTAAATGTCGTTCATGCAGAATAAAAAAAACAGCGGAGTCTATGCTATTTGATCGTTTTTGATTAAACTAGTAGTTTTCTTGATGCTTTATGAAGTGTCAAACTGCTTATATGTACGAATTAATAGTATACAATGAACTGTAATTTGGTTGCTCTGATTCTAAACTTCAGCAACTAAAACTTGTTCCCTGGCTTCTTCTTCAGCTTATTTAATCCATCTTTTTTAACATCAAACGCATGGTATAGGGATGCAGGGTTAGAAGTGGAGGCGGATTATCTGGAAGCTTTCAGAGGCTATAAATGGAAGTCATGAGAGTTACAGAACCATCATATCTTTAGCTCTCCTTTATTTTTTTTTCATCTGTGCTAAATTTATTTACTGCAGAACCATATGAATTGGTTTCCTTTGTTTTATGAGTGAGTTGCTTTAGTTACTGAATTCGGACTCATCACACTAATTTATGCTTAATATGCACATCTCCTATGATTTTATAATTTTATAACTGGCAACACATCTATGAGTGAATGTTTAGTATCATAAAGTCATTTTATTTTGTACTAAACTTTAAATTTATTAATGGCGTAACATTATTGAAAAAGTCTTAAGATGTAAAAAGGTTTTTTGTTGCATCCTAATTTGATTTGCAGTAAATGTGTTGATTGAATTTGTATAATTTTCAGCATTTCTTAGTAGACTTAGGCTTCGTTTGGGACGGCTTTTTTGTTGCTTCTTAAAGCAGTTTTTTAGTACAAAAATTGTAATTATTGAACTAGAAAGATGCTTTAAGAAGTAGCAAGAAAGCCGTCCCAAGGCTTCGTTTGGAACGGCTTCTTTACTGCTTAAAGCATCTTTTTACAAAGTTGTTTTAAGAAGTAATAAAAAAGCTGTCCCAATTGAAGCCTTAATGCTAGACTTTAAAGTAGTCCCCTTGCTTTTTATATAAGACTAGTTTAATTTTAGAGTATTATTTTGCCCCAATTTAATCATTTGATCTTATAAAATAATTTAAGATGGTCTCTTTAAGAATTAAAGTGGGATTAATTTTGTGGTTAGGAGGCTAAATTGGGATCAAATTTTTATCATAAATATGTTATGAGAGATTAATTTAAATTAATTTTATATAATGAGAGATTGAGTTGGGGAAAAATGATCTTTAGAGATAAAATTTGGTAGGTGCGAAGATTATTTTGGTTTTATGACGATTCTATGATTATTGTTTTATATTAATGGCACAATCGTTGGCCTAATTTTACTCACGTTTTTTTCTTGAGTGTGATTGATCGACTCAATTGAACTCGGTTGAGCCTAATTTGATTTAAATTGACATCGGTTCGAGCTTAATTTCATTAATTTGTCTTGATCAAATCAAATCAAGTTTAAATTAACTCGAATTGAGTTAATTAGACTCAATAAAATAATATTCAATCAATTAATATTTACCCTCGTCAAACTTAATTTGATTTAAATTGGTGCTAATTTGGGTTTAATTTTGATAAATTAATTCGATCATATTGAATTACTTGGGACTTATTCAAATCTAGTTTGATTCTGGTTCAATTTCAAACCTTATCATTTTAATTGACTAAAAATTAAAATCCAATTAACTTTCTAATTAATTAAAATCAATGCCCAAATCAGGAAACAAGATAGACGACTCCTATCTCATGAAATTTGAAATATGTTGTTGTCACAGTGGTTTTAGTTGGATGACCTACAATTCTAGTGTGAACACAAGCGGCTTTGGCAAAAACGAAGAGGGCAGTACCTTCTTTTTTGGTTTATAGAGAAACAAGAGGGAGGATTCGAGGCATTTGAGATCAGCCCTCACCCCCCCCTTATTTTTCTTCCACACACAGAGGCTTGGGATTCGACTCCCTTGCTCATGAAAGGTCTTGCTTTCGAGTTACGTGTGGAGTTAGATCGGAGAACTGTCTGGATTTTGTGAATGTGCACAGCAAAAGCGCAATTACTATGCAACATTGTGCTTTCATTGTGCACACTCATAGAAATCAGAAGCAACTTCGGTCTGAACTCTGCACGTAATAATCTCTCCGCTCCTGAAGCCTTCTCTCCCCCCGTTCCTCTCCCGTTCAGTCCACCCCATAGAAGAAGATATTATTACATGCGGAGTTCAGATCAGAGAACTGTTCGGATTCTATGAGTGTGCACAGTAAAAGCATAGTTATTGTGCGCTTTTACTGTGCACACTTACAAAAATTGGATGCAGCTTCAGTCCAAATTCTGCATGTAATAATCTCTCCTAGAGAAGCTCCTGAAGCCTTCTATCACTTCGTTCCTCTCCTGTTCGGTCTGCCTCAGAGAATTGCACGCACGTTGCCTCTGACCTGTTCCTGTTCGAACGACTCGGCCATGAGAGATTTTTATTTGGATGTGCACAGTAAAAGCGCAGTTATTGTACACCATTGCGCTTTTACTGTGCATACTCAGAGAATCCGGACGCTTGAGACACAGAAGCGATCCCTCTCTCACTCACGATTGTCTTTGCTCGCAGGTTCGCCGACATCCCCTCCTCTTCTTCTTCTTTCTCGTCCTCCTCTCCTTCTTTCTCTTCCTCTTCTTCTTATTCTTCAAGAATAACAATGGTTGGGTGGTCAGTCTATCAATCCAAACTATTTAACAAGTGTTCTTTCTTGTTATAACTATATTCCTACACTTCCTTGAACTGAATGCTCTCTAATTTACGAGTGCTTCCCTAGAAGTTTCAACTGGATAGTCTCGTGAAACATGGATAAGCTCTATGACATGCTTTATGTTACTTGAAATCACATTCATGTGTGTAAAATCTACAGAAATTTACATTCATTAATGATTTATATCATGCAATATGGAGCCTAGAACTTCATGTATTGAATTTGGGAAATTATAGCATCCTTTACCAAATGCATAGAAGATGTTTGCACCAATATCTATTGAGAAATTGTACAACCTTTGATCAAATAAAGAGTTATAGGATGAGCATGCCTATACTTCTTTCATTTATGATTCTAAAAAAAATAATGTGAGTTAGGACACAAGAATAGTTGCGCGGGGGGGGTCGCAAAAGGGGTGGGAGAGGACAAGAAAGGGGGGGGGGGGGGGGGGGGGGGGAGAGAGAGAGAGAGAGAGAGAGAGAGAGAGAGAGAGAGAGAGACGGGGTTTGGCATATATGTTTATACTACATAACCATGGTGAATTTGGCCTCAATGACTAATGCTTATAAGAAAAGAAGAGAGATAAATCTTCAAATACATGAATATTTCAAATGGCGATCATGTACAAAATGCTCATGTAATCTTATTATAGTATGATTATCGTTGATTGAAGAGAATGATTGTGGATACTTGACGGCCTGAGAATCATTCTTAATAGTATTGTTCTTTCATCATGTATTGAATTAAGCATATACTATCAATGGTAGAAAAGATGTTTGTATTTTTGTAAAGCATGCTTGAAAATTTATTTGTTGTTGGGATTCTCATTAATCAAGATCAAGTTCGGATGTTTTGTTATGTACATATGTGCTTCACTATTATGTATGGTTTCAATTATCTCTTGAAAAGTATTTAGTGAAACTATTTGTTTGTTCTAATTGAACCTTGATTAGTTTAGAGAAAGTTTATTTGTAAGCATGTGCCCAAAATTATGTTATAAATATATACATGACAAATTGCATATATGTAAACAGTGTGAACAAATCTCATTGGGTAATTTCAATAACTTAAAACATTGTATATGATTTACAATTCTCATATTCAGGCATAGTTTGATTGCTATACTCCTCAAATATGTGTATGCCTTCAAGTATTGCAAGTTGCGCCTTCTCTTTTCTACACATGTCATGCCAATGAATAATTTTAAAAGTTGAATATGTTCTCTACACATGCCATGATTTCTTGTTTATCAACAAAAATTTTTTACTTTCTTTTCTATACATGTGTAGTGATGTCTTACAGATGGCAATTGTCTTATGTTAACCAAACGTATCATTGTTAATTACTCATTGTGTTATTGTTAAACACCATATGGCATGCTATTTAAATTTATTAAAAGATAATGCATTTGAAGTGTTCACATTGCAAGATTGAACTTCAACATTATATGTGCATTCAACATAAAGTGAGATTTATGAGCATTGTTGAAAGTTTTCCAAGACATATTTGAAACTATGTGGTGTAAGGGTTGGTACCCATGTTACTAAGTTCTTATTTAATTCATATATAGTTTTCTTCTATGTTCTATGTTAAGCAAGTTTTTATATACTTCATGCATGGTCTTCCTCTCCGTTAATCTTTCTTACATATGTTAGTAAGCTTTCATACACGTTGATATGAATGTATACATGTCCTCATATATCATTATTATTTGCTTACATATACTCTTTTTATTTATGTTGCTTGCGAGGTACTTATGCCTTGCATGTGTCGCTGGTTGGTAAGTTATGCTTACTTGAGCCTCATATAAATGCTTCTATGTTTTGCTGAGGTGTACGAATACACCTCAGTACGCCTCGATCAGGTACAATTTCGACAACCCTATAAAGACTTCTTTTTTGTATGAAGAATGGCAACACTTGCACACACATAACTGCTCTTTTACTTTCACCTAAATCATGTGGTAGGATGTATTAGTCATTGAACATGGATTAATACACTAATGAAGCCTTGCCCTTATTGGCCAAGTCTTACCCCCTCTGTAAACCTTAGAGATCTTCATGATCACTTAGATATGTAGTGTAGGCTACCTACTTGTGTCATATGCATCGATATTTTTCTGCATGAAGTGCACCTTGCTAAGATCCTTTGTTTTAGTTTTAAAATACTTAAACAACTCTAAAAGATCACACTTCTTAATAATTTTTGAGCATTTAAATGTTATTTTCATAAACATGTCAATAATATGAAATATAAAATAAAATGTGAGCTCTTGTATGTTAGGTTAATCTTTGTATAAGTCCAAAGATGTATGTCTTCTTGTAGGTGATAGGTTTAGTTCTATTATTTGAACATACTATAGAACTTGTGTTTGAAGTTCATTTACTACAAATGATAATAAAAGAGGAACTATTAAAAATCAATTTAACTAAGTTAACTGATGGAATATAATTAATAAACTCATAATCAAACATAAAATTGGTAATGAATAAACTAAAATAGTAATCAAACATTGAATATCAATTAAATAATGAACATAATCAATTAAACAACAAGGTGATTATTCGATAACTTGGGCTGATGAGGCTATTGAGTTAGCCCCAATAAGGGTAAATTAAACCACATAGCCTTGATTTAAAAAAACATAATTATTACGTAACTTAAATAATTGACTCATAAGTATAAATAATGTATTATTTTATGTGTGTATTTTTAGTGAATTTTTTGTTCAGGTTGTATTGTGCAGGAAAAATACAAAAAAGATATAAAATTCTAAGTTTCATGTAGCACCTTAGCGTTAGAAAAAATAACACCGCAGCGCCATCAAATACACTGTCAGAGTGCCAAAATATCAACATTGCAGCGCCACAACGG